GGAGAGGAGAGATTGAGCAGGCAGCTAAGCACCAGATTAAACTCCGGGGTCGTCAGCTGTAAAACAAACAGTCCTTTTAGTGGGGATCAAATCCAGACTTAACCCCCCTCTCTCTCCCTCCTCATCCTCCTCATCCACTATGCACACACAAACACACACACACACACAGTTTGTCACAGAGGAGATAATGCTGCTCGCTGAGGAGAGAAGGAGAAAAAAAAAAAAGGACGACAATCTTGGTGGAAAGCAAATTCCTGTCTCGGAGCCCGTTTTTGTGTGCCGTTACCTAAATTGCCCCTCAGGGAATGTGAAGTTTTATTATACCCAGGCAGAAGTCCTTCATTATATTTCTTTTTTTTTGCCACCCTCCCAACAGCTCCTGTTGGTGATAGACTGGGCTAATATCTGGTGCAGAAAGACTGCAGAGTAAATAAGGCAGGGGGAGAGGGTTTTCTTCTTACAATTCTGTGTTTATATTACATCTTTACTGTAATATTCCCCTGACAACACGGCTTGCCTCAATATTCAGACCGTTTGTTTAAATCTCTCTTTCTGTCATCTGGTTCGAGATGATGCCTGGGCGGCTCCATCAGTCCGAAGGCTCAATTTCCAAACTGTCAGCTTTTATACTCACTGTGAGGCCTCTTCCTTTGTTGTGTGTGGAGTGTGTGTGTATAATATATGTCTGTGTAAATCCATGCCAAGGCAGCGACAGCAGCAGTGTCTTTTATTGTGTGTGTCTGCTCGTGATTCTATCTTTGAGAGGACCGGTTTGAGTTTTGCTGGTAGAGATTGGAAAACATTTTTGGGAAAGTGGGGACATTTTGGTTTTTTTGCTGCTCCTCGCTGCTTTTAGGGGGGCTGTTTGAGGCTTGAAGCACATCAAACACAAGCTCCACATTCTGGAGCTTTCAACAGTATCACATGGTCTTCATCAGCAGAGTTTGTTAAGTTGTCAGATCTCCTCGCTGAGGAAACTTGGCGCATCTGTTGATAAAGACCGCTTGAAAGCTCCAGAATAAGTAAGTAAGTGGACGTGGAGTGGTGGTTGTTGTGTCAAAATTTAGTTTCCAAGATCAAGAATGAACCGTCAAGCTCAACTTTGAAGCCAAAATAAACGATGAAGTCCTTAAGGTGCTCGGAATAATGGAAAGTTTGGAACTTTTCAGTGACACTGTGTCGGTGGAAGGAGCCAGAACATTTCGAGTGAGCGGCTCATTTGCTGTAAGAATAATCTGCCAGCCTCAGCTTGAAAAACTTAAGTATTTCTCTGTAGCCTAACATGAAATATTTGTGACGCTCAAAAACTTTAAACTAATCTGCTTCATCAGGACCATGCAGTTGTGAGGCTAGATTTGATCAGGCAGTGGTGTCCCCATTGCAACATAAGCAAGCAAAAAAAACACCATCATCACAGTGTAATATTGCTAAATTCCGATGTGTGTGTGTGTGTGTAAATATCGGTTTCTTCCAGGTTCTTAGGCTGGTAATGGTGTATTTTTGTGGACCTCAGAGCTCAATAACAAAGAGATGATTGAAGGAATAGTTCGACATTTTTGGAAATGATTCGCTTTCTTGCCGACAGATGAAAAGATTGATGCTACTGCTATGGGTGGTATCGATCTTCTCATCTAACTCTTGGTCCAAAAAAAAGTGAATGTTCCAAGAATTTTAAATGATTTCTTAAAAAAATAGTTTTCAGGCCCTTTATGACTCTGATTAAGGTTACAATTAGGTTTATGTTAGTGTGTAGGGGCTGAAGGGGATGTAATTATTCCATCACATGCTGTATATTATTATATTGGCAGCCTCATGAAAGCAAAGATTTAAGTAAATTCCTGTATTGTTACATGCTAATGCAGTTTTACAGTAATATAACCAACAATAATTGCAGGCTGAACATTTGTTTGATGGATTATAACTCTAGCAATTTCCAGAAGTCTGCTAATTGATTTTCGTAGCGTATGGAAATGAATGTAAACCACAGCGTGGAAAAACGAGAGCATGGTTTGCAAAAAATGATCATTAGTAATATTAAGTATTCTTAATGTGTACTATAAAACATGCAAAATCAATGCTACGGTCTATTAGGATTAAAGGTGGAGGCTGGGGAATGCACGAAGGGCACTCGCAAGTATATAAGTGCAAATATATATGTGTGTGTGTGTGTGTGTGTGTGTGTGTGTGTGTGTGTGTGTGTGTGTGTGTGTTTGGTTTCAGGCTTTTTGCATGTGACCCAGGGTCCCTGAGCTGCTAAAAGCACAACATTCAACTCAATTAGCGGCATGCATAATTGATAGCTGTCTGGGAGAGTATTTGTATTTACACTGGAATTAAAAGCCTCCGGTGTCAGCTATCACATCTGAGGGGCGATAAGGGTGTGTGTGTGTGTGTGTGTGTGTTTTTGTGTTCTAGTAGGGGAATGTATGATGTATGTATATTATAAGCCTAAATGGATTGCTGCTGTGCCGCTTCTTCTCTTTGCTGCAGTGGAAATTAAAACAGCAACAGCACTGCGTTCGGCTTAAACGGACTTTCTTTCAGATTCCGTTGTTTTCACCTGTTTTCTGATTAGGACTCGGTATTTCCAATCCCCGGTAACTGGATTTCTGCACCAATACCAAAATGAGACTTAACTGTAAGATGTCGGACTATATAAGATGTGAACTTGTTTTTCTCAAAAAGTCCTTTTAATTAAATAAAGATTGTTTGAAATATTGAAGGAATAGTTTGATACTTTGGGAACAATGCTAATTTGATATATTGCCAAGAGTTAGATGAGTTAGATATATGGAAAATATGAATATAATTAGCTTATTAGCATAAAAGAAACAGCTAGCCTGTCTCTGTCCTGACGTCGCCAGGCAACCAGCTGAGACTCCTGGACGTCACAGCTAATTTGTACCGAACCGAAGACTTTCTCCAGCACACACAACCCCTCATAAAACTAACAGCTTGTCACTTTTATACGTTGGTTTGGAATAGATTTGAGAAATCAGACTAACTCGTGTTAATTAGTAAACTTTAGGAGTGCTTGTAGGTGGATTTTATGGCTGTTTCCAGTCTTCGTGTTATGCTATGCTAACCAGCTGCTGGTGGTTTAACTTCATATTTACTGTACAAACATTAAGAGTGGCATCAAGCTTCTCATCTAACTCCAATTCTGTCAAAATACAAGCAACCATACGACTGCTTTGCATAAATAAAATGGTCTGAAACAGACAAGGAGCTGTTTAATCAAAGAGTAAGATGCCAACTTTCAGTTCTTAAAAGTTAATAAATAAATAAATGTAATGAACTATTCTAGATGTTAGTGCCATGAAATATAAATTGATTTAAATTGAATTGCTCATGTGTTTACTTATAAATGAATTCTTTTTGACTCATCATTTTGTACCTTTTCTACCCACATATTACACATTTAATGTAGATTTGCTCATGGTGGAAAAGCAACTTCTTTTGAATGTAAAATTATAATATTTCCAGTTGAAACAATTAGCTGAACACCCATTTTGTAGCTTTCATACCCAAAGATTAAAAACATGTCCCTGCGAAAAAAGATTTAATGGGCCATTAAAATGCTCTTAATGGTTCCTGGGGTTTCTTCTTTTTTTTTTTTTTTTTTTTAAGGTGAAATAAATAATTAAATCTTAGTTACGTGATTTGTTAACCAATTTCAGTTCTGTAATGCTACTTCTGGCTGCAGGAATTCAGTGAGACAAGCACTTGCGAATCGAGTACTTGAGGGACCACTAGAAGGACGTCTGCTTGACCAGAATGTGTCACCGCCGCCTCCAGCCTCCTGAGCCTGTGCGGCGGAGTATTGAACGGCCCGTTGACCTTGGCCAAGGTCACTCTCCTGTCGGGTGAAAAGCAGCTGTAGTGGAGTTAAGTGAGGCCCTGGTATTGAGTTCATCACCTATTTGATTCAGAGAGGAGAAAAACCTGCAGTCACCTTCACTCCGCTCAATCATATCTTCCCCCCCTCGGCTCACTGTAATACGCACCAATCCTGAGCGTATTAGAGTGCCTTCACCTATTTCCTCCCCACTTATTTTGTTCCTTTTTCCTTGTGCTTCTTTTCAGATCTTAGCCTTTACACTCCCGCTTGTAATGATGGTAATCTAAGCCTATTTTCACTGTTGCCCTTTTAACTCTAATAGCAGCAGCTGACCTAGACTCATCTCTGCTTACAAGCAACTTCTAGCAAGCATCCATGAACATGTAGGGCTGGTTCCTAAATTCATCTCTCATTTGTTTTCTTTGGAGGAATTGATTAATAGTTTAATCAATAAAACATCAAGAAAAAGGGGAAAACGCCCCATAATTTCCAAGAGTCAAAGTTGGTTATCGTTAAATTGGATGTTTTGTCCGACCAGCAGAAAAAACTGCAAATTACATTATTATTATTATTATTATTATTATTATTATTATTATTATTATTATTATTCAATTTTTTAAAACATTATGTGATATATATACATATGTTTGATTACTTAATTGATAAATAGAGCTGGAATAATCTGTGTATTCATCAATTTCTCCACTGAAGGAAAATTAATTAGCAATTATTTTGATTATCAATCAATAATTTGGAATTTTTCAGGTAAAAATGCCATCACATTCTCACATTGACGCCTGAAATGTGAGGATCTGCTGGTTTTCTTTGTTGTTGTTTTTTATATAGTAAACTCCCCTAAATATATATAAATTATCAAAATGAATTAATACATTTCTGTTGCTCAACTAATTGATGAATCCACAGATTCAAAGAAAACAGTTTGTGCTTTGTTATTTCTTTTAAAGACACTTGCAATGTTACCCAGTACTTGTCTCTAACACAACAGCATCATAATCACTCTAAGATCTTTTGGTTTTAACAGTCTCCCTAATTCTGGCATGGGGGAGAGAGGGAGGGATGTTGTAGTAGAGAGCGGGGGGAGGAGGTGGATGTGTGTGTGGTTGGGGGGTGAGATGAGATAGAGGGTTTAAGATCCGGTCCATCCATCCTTCAGTCCTCCCAGACTTGAAGTGGGCCAGCAGACAAACTGATCTGACTGTTATTCATCTAATGAAGCTTTTTTCCTGCTCCTGCTCCAATCAAGGTAACAGGACCAACTGAGTTATTATTACACGTACGCAGGACTCTTTCAGTAGCTGTATAGTAGCTCTTTGTAAACGAGATGATTGTGAGGGAGAATTCTTGTATGTGATTAGTTCAATTACTACTACTTTATCTATTTAAAAAAAAAATAATCCCCTCTCTGTTGGCCTTCTGCGTTTGACTGGCATGATGATTTTTACTTGTTATTTTAGAATGTAGCATTCAGTGTCATTAGACTGATGGTGGATTTAGATGTGCATGTTTAGGCTTGTATCTGATGCTCTTATCAAGTAGAACAGCCTTTAATTGTAGCTGACCAACAAAACAGCCAATAAAAAGGGGAGGAATACAAATGTCAGAGGCAAAGTTTGCATTAAATTGCAGAGGAAATCCCATTTAACCCATATTTGTTTGCAATCCTGTTCCAGCATTACTGTGCTTTTATTATTTTCTCACATTTTGGTGTTTTGATTGTTTTTTTCAAGGCATTTTGTAACCTGTGTTTGTCTAAATGCTGCCCTTTAAGTTAAATGTCTTTGGCTCAGCTCCCCTAGTTGCCTGATAATGTCCCTGTGACCCTGCAATGATCATGTGTGAGTGCAGTGCTGCATGGGAAGAAGGAAATAAAATAAGAGCTGAGGGGAGACACATCGTTTTTTGTTGCTCCAAGATAAGAGGATATTACAGCTCGTGGAAGAGGGCTTAGAGGAGAGGAGACATCATTCAGCAGGGGAAAAGGGTTATGTGAAGTACTTCTTGAAGAGATGAGTTTTCAGCCTTCCAGGGAAGATGGTGGGTGTCTCTGCTGCTCCGAATCGCCCGGGAAGGTCATTGTGTCTGTGGGAGGACGATGTGTGTGTTTATTGGATGAAATTGTAGAAAAATACAGAAAATACTAAACTGTATCTGCAGGGAAAATGATGCTTTCACACATTTATGTTACTCTAATCAGCTTTGAACTAGTAAATGTAATTTCAAGCACATTATGAACTGACAGAGACCTATAAACTTTATATTTATTTACCATTATACTAAAGCCATATACCGTCTGGAGAGTCTGGGTTTGTCTTTGTTAGATGATTTAATTTAGAGAGCAGAAGCTGCTGTTATCAGTTACATGAGCTTTGTTGTTATGGCTACTTGTGATGAGCGTTAATTAATATTTCTTTTAACCAGCTTCTTCCTCGCCTCTCCAACTTCAATCTGATGATGATCACAGTGATTAAGATACTGAGGAGTTTAATCTGCTTTTGTTATGCGCTGTGTTTTTCAGATGCAGTGCAGCTGTAGCTCTTCAGTGGGACACCTTTCAGCGCCCTACTGGAGCAGAAGTAAGGGTCGTTTTTGATCCGTACGTGTGTTTGCGTGTCCTCTATCTCAGTTATTTACATGTGTGGGTTGTCATTTGTGTGGGAGATTGTTTCACGTTTATGTAAGAGTTATTATGTATTCGTTCCTTGCTGTGTGCATCTGCCTCTAATGCAGTAGTGTGAAAATAATAGATGAGATAGTGAAAAACAAAGTGACAGGCAACATGTCACCCCTGACTAATGATGCAGTCCCCCTCTTGACCAATCAGGAACCAATTTTGTAAGTTGCCCTGTTTTGACTTGTTATTTTGAGCGCCCCCTGTAGCTCAGTGTCACTTTTCTTTTCTACGGAAGACCAGACTGGACAAGAATATCTTTTTCTATTCTTTTATGTCCACCGGATCCGACCCCGTGGTAGGCATTAAGAATTACTATATTTAGATCGCCAGATGGTCGCTAATGGTTTGTTTATGTAGATCATATAGGCATCAATATGAAATTACACCTGTTTCATAACCAGTTAAAAACTCCTTGAATTGTCTTGTTTATTTCAAATTCCAGGTTTGTTTGATGAGCTAAACCAAAGAAGACATGAAGTGCATGAACTCCTTAAACTCCTTTTTTTAAAATATCATATCTAAAAGAAGAATCTAAAGAACTTGAACCTTTCCAACAAATGATCATGTCGTGAATCCAACATAATGAGCTTGAAATAGTTTCCTCATAATGACGGAGTGATTAGATCACAGGAAAACAAAGCTTCATGTTCAGAAGAACAGATAATATAATAATAATTACACATGTCCTATCTGGCAGCGGATAATGTTTTGCACGACACGTCTTTTACATTAACATTTTCTCCACTTCAAAAAATATGTTACTTGCTAAGTGGTGAAATGTTTCATCTTGCCGTGTTTTTTCATTAATTAATAGCAATTTGTGACACATTGTTATTCAAACAAATTAATGAACAAATGGAGAAAAAAAAAATCAATGTCGAATAAGATTGAAGGACATCAGCCAACTTCAATCCAGTGACTCAACAGGCACGAGGCAGGATCTGGAACAATGAAATCTGGAGCCCACAATTATATTAGGAGCTTTTTAATGAGCAGCAGAAAGGGGATGGAAGAAGTACTCAGATCTTGTACTTATGTAAAAGTAGCAAAAATACAGTATAAAATGTATTTTGTTACAAGTAAAGTTCAGACACTCAAATTTTTACTTAAAGCAGCTGCAAGGAACCCTCATGTTTTGTTGATTCTGGCGGCCCCTGTGGACAAACGTGGTAGTGTTTCCACCGCATTAAAGTTAAAAACTTCCTGTTGTACATTCAAGTAAAAGTAATGGCATCAAAATATAACCTTCAGTAAAAGTTGCCTCTATGAAGAATGACCCAAATAAGAAATCATATACAATATATAACATTATTGGTTAATAATTATTAATCTAAAATGTTCTTATCATTTTAATATTAGCTTGTAAATGTCTCTCCAATGATCAATAAAGTTTTACCCTAATCTATAAGATTACCACATAATATGCTTGTTGATTATATTTTGTTTTATCAGTCAAAGAGTAAGAAGCATACTATTTGCTTCTAGTGGAGTAGAAAGTAGCAGAAAATGGACACCAACATAAACAGCATCAAAATGAAAGAAAACATCAGAATAATGTAGAATAAATCAGAGCGCTCCCAGAAGAATGTATCACTGGCAGAGGGTTCAATATTCTTTGAATTTATGAACAAAATCAGCAGGAGAAGGCACGTAATAGCTGACCTGTTGTTTCCCTTCTGTCTGAAGATTGCTACAACAGGAGAATTAGAAAAGTTCTGTTTCTAAGCACGAAAAGCAAGCAGGTGCAGATCTATTGATCTCCTCCGCTCCACTTCAGTACTATAGACAGCACGGCCCGATAGGAACATGTACATCTGTGATCATCTTGTTGATTCCCTTAAATCAGTTGTATCAAGATACAGCATGATGTAAAATATGGTACATTTAAATAAAGCAGCCATCTAACAAATGAGCTGTCTGTGTTAGGCCTACATAGCATAAAGTATTCCTCATGGCCAATACTGATTAGATATCCAACATTTTTGTATTTTAAAAAGCAGTTTATTACCTGTAGTTTATCAAAGAAAAAGGCTTAAGAAAGGCTTAGATGTGGTGGGCAAAGATGGACGGTTTAATATTCAATAACTTAATTATTACCAAATCTAACGGACATCACTATTGTTAATGTTTATTTTTTCTCATGAAGTTCCTTAAAAAACTTCACAAACATGTTTTTTATAGAACATAAAGTCTATCAATCATTTTGCACAAGAAATACATAAATCATTATTAATATCAACCAATAATTTATCAGCTGTAAGTTAATTTATAATAATATAAATGTCCCATTATCGGCTGATAATTTGTCTGTTCCGATAATTATCATACATCCCTACCCAAAAGTATTATAAACGAATAGTTTACATTTTAGAAAATACGTATCTTCGCTTTTTTGGAGAGAGTTAAATGAGAAGTTTGATACCTCTTTTACGTCTGTACACTAAACATGGAGCAACAACCAGCAGTTCATTAGCTTAGCTTAGCTAAAAGACTGGAAACAGGGGGGAACTGCTAGCCTGGCTCTGCCCAAAAGTAACTAAATCCACCTACCATCACCTCCGAAGCTCATTAATTAACAGGTTACCCAAATGTCGAACTTACATCTTTAAAAAATACCACAACATAGAGATGTGTAACTACTTCAGTTCACCAAAATCTGATTGGAGGTTTCCTGAGACTAACTATCAACTGAACAAATGAACTTAAATTAGCCTGTCGGCGACTTCCCGCTCATTTACACGACTTCCTCATGTCTCTCCAGCAGTGCTGTTCCCCGACTGGGCCTACAAACCGGCCTGGTCGCCCGGCTCCAGACAGGTGCAGCTGTGGCACTTCCTGCTGGAGCTGCTGGGGCGGGGCGAGGGCGGGGCCATCGGCTGGGGAGGGGAGTGGGGCGAGTTTGTCATCCGGGACCCCGAGAGGCTGGCCAGGCTGTGGGGGGAGAGGAAGGGCAAACCTCACATGAACTACGACAAACTCAGCCGGGCGCTCAGGTGATGCAAAATGCACGAGTTGAAGTGGACACGTTCACACTGGCTTCATACACACACACACACACACACCTATGGGTTGAATGTGTATAATCCTCCCTCTCTATGCTGCTTCTCCCTCAGGCTGACGCTGTAAATAAAATGTATTCCTCGCCAACATATGTTGTCAAATTAAAAATTGAAATCTAAAATGCCCACAGATGCAACACATGCCATTTGGGAAGCACTTTTATCTTAAGTGCCCTACAGGAACATGAGTGCATAGCATAGACATTACAGCCTGGCATAGACACACACACACACACACACACACACACACACACACACACACACACACACAGACACAATCAGAGTGTAGTCTGACACAGAAAACATTTTATTTCCAGATACTACTACAACAAACGCATCCTGCACAAGACCAAAGGGAAAAGATTCACCTACAAGTTCAACTTCAGCAAACTCATCCTGGTCAACTATCCAGGACACCCGGCACCGCCCGGCCATCAGGTCATCACCACGTCTTTGCATCTCATGTCACAACTTAAAGGACTTCACTGCTTGGAAAACAGGCTTCTAGGTTATATAACTTATATAAAATGATCTCAAAATGCATCTATTCTGTCTCTGATACTTTCCTCGTCACATGAGCAGAATTTGATCGGTTTTCCAAAACATGGGTGTAGTCCTTTAAGAAGAGTTTTATTCCAAAAACAATTACCTTAACTGTATTATTTAATATTAAAACATGGACTTTAACAGAAACAATTACTCCAACTTTATCATTTAATGTAAAACTGACGAGAATAGAAATCATTATTAGAACTTTATCATTTAAAATGAAATTGACTGATCCTCTAATGTGGAGGGGAGTCAGCGTGTTACAGTTATATCACATTAACGCGCAGACCGAGGGCTTAGGTTACCTTTAGAAAGCACCATATTTTATTTAATTATACGATTAATTCTGCAAGAGTTGGGATTAGTAAGGATGTGCTTTTTGTCCGTTTAAAAAAACACCATCCAAGTTTGGAATAAAACTCTTAATATCATGTACTGTAATTAAGTGTTTCACCATATTTCAATGTTAAATGAGGCCACTAGTGTGCAAGATATCAAGAACACCTTCCTGCTATTAAGCTGATTAATGACTTAATCATCCAAAGAGCTTCTTTACCTTTTCACTGCCTCCTCTTAACCACATCGGCTTTGATCTATGGTATATTTAATGAGTCCAATCAGTAAGAGATCCAAAGCTTCACCTGGTGTTCTTAATGTTCTGTGCACACAGTGTCAGACTATATTTTATTGAAAAGATCCATGTTGCCATTTCAACCATCCTCCCATCTCATCCTCCATCCTCCACCCCCCTCCTCCCCTTCCAGCTGCTACAGAGCGGCCCTGTTCCCTTGCCCCTCCTCCCTGCTGAGAGTGGTCTTCCTCTGTGTGGAGGAGCAGGGTCAGTGATGGACAGAGGTAAGAACACGGCCTTCGGCGACTCAGGTAACATCCACAGGGTCCAAACAAAGTCTCACACAGTGTCGGTTCACGACCGGCAACTGTGTGTTTATTTGGTGTGTAGTCTGAGAGTGAAGGAGAAACACCAAAGTGAGATTTATTGCGGAAAAAACCTCCCGGATATTGGATCTAAGAATTGAAGATGTTATTCGATATGTTTCTTACTGTCAACAAAATCCCAAACACAATTGTTTCCTCCTGGAGACATAAAACCTTTAAAATGGGTCATAAATATGTAAGTTTTATAAGAACAAGACTTCTTTATTGATATAATCAAAACCAGAGATTGGACCGTACTTTAAAAGGAAAAAAAGAGAAAATACAACTCATACACACAGGAATAAAAAGTCTGTTGGGGAGCCGTGGATTGATACACATTTGGTATTTACAGCAGAATAAGATCAGGCTTTGGCTGCATATATACAACACTTGATTGGTTCCTTTAGACCTCTTGATTAAGTATTCAGTGAAGGCAGTGACTGCAGTATTAACTGGACTGAAAATGTAGGTGGAACACCGAGAAATAAACAATCACTTTTCCATCCTCCTCATATTCACTCGGTTCACTACATCACATAAAGTCACACCTATAAATGTTCGAGTGCTGCAGAAAAGTCCTGAAGTTTTTCTATTTCAGTTTCAAGCCACAAGGAAGCAGCTTTCCCCTTGCTGTGTTTCACTCTGTAATTTTCTTCTATTTCAAGGTGAAACACGAGGCGTGCCGTGGAAAATAATGCAGGGATGGAGTTCAATCTTGACCTTGAAGACAAATTCTGGAGGGGGGGGGTTGTCAAAATGAATAAGTTCAAGCGTCAAAGATGTAGCTAAACATCCGCACCCCTGTACTACCATCCAGGTGTTTTTTAACCGGGGTGGCACGACGTTTGTGTCTCAGTTTTCCAGTCAGTCCCAAATTATGCAATTAACCTGGGATCACATGGGATTAAATTCACTTTGGAGCATTATTTAGCCCTCTACCCGACATGGTTCATCATCTAGTTCAGTATGAAACCAGTATCTTCACTGCCACTCTTTACCCTGAACACTGTAGGACAGCAGCTTTATTATTCAGAATCTGATGAGGTTATTGGTTAAAAAAAACCACCACCGTCAATGAAGTGCTACAATGATGCAGCTTCTGATTAAATAAAAGCAGAATTTGAATGTGAAAATACATCGAATGAGAGAGTTTGTCCAGTTGCCATGAAAGTTTAAAGCGAGTGTGTGAACCTTGAGTTTCTATTTGTCAAACTATCGAGGTCAAGAATGGACGAGATTTATTTCTTTCATGACTATTGTAACAAAAAGGTAATAAATGTGTAATTTATGTTCAACATCAGACTGTTTTTTTACTGTGAACGACTTAACTCCAGCCAAGGCTTCATGTATTTTCATTGATTTATTATATGAATGTATGAATATTAATGTGTTTCTGATTAAGTATCATTAAACTCTAAGCTCTCTCTCTCTCTCTGTTTCCTGACAGCGGTCCAGGCTGTTCCTTATCCCTTCCTGCTCCCGTGCTGCCTCCCTAAGCCCATCCCGACGCCCCGCGCCCTCCACGGCCACTTCCCCTTCATCTCCGCCCCTGGCCGTCCGGGGGTCAACCTGAGGGAGCTCCCGCCTCTCGCCTCGGGCCTCCACGCCAGCGCCGACGGCTGGCCCCACAAGGGCCCCGCAGGGTGGGATCTGAACCACATCGGTCGAGGCCTGCTGCTTGGTGGAGTGAAGCAGACTGAAAGACAAGGAGAGGAGAGGAGAGCGGGGAGTGACGCACAGATGGGGGAGAGAGAGTGAAGAAAGGGGCAACAAACTACAGCAGATGGACTGCTTTACCCCTCTTCAAATATCCACTCTTTTAGCTCATTGTATAGTTTATTATTCCCTGCCTGTGATACACAGACTTTGTATTTATTGAGTTGGACCATGATGTGTGTATTATTATTTTTTTTTTATAGAAATAACTCAAAGGATGCTGCTTTTTTCTTCTGTCAGCACTTCACGCCACAGTCGGGGGAATTGCACTTGTAAACAATTAACAACATGGCACTTGTGTTTTGAGTAAATAAAGCAGTGCACTCAACTTACATTATTCAGCTGTTTGTCTTGCATTCCTTCGCCCTCCTTCTTCGGGCCTCATGAAAATAATAAGAGCTGCATAAATGATGCATTCAAACAGGCGCTGTGAAATTTTCATGAAAGGGAGCTTTTTCATGTCTGCAGCATCAGGACCTGCCCCCGGTTGTCTGCAGTGGCCACTCCGACACAGCAGGGGGCAGTAGCATCGTTTGTTATCCCGCGGCAGAGACGCAGAGCTGAGATGTGTGGAAAAATGAGGAGGTGTCACTCCGTTGCTATTTTTCGGGTGCCCTAAATTTAAATAATTTTATTTTTTTTTTATTTTATTTTATATTTTATTTATTATATATATATTTTTTAAATATCTTATTAAATTATTCGACGCGTTTGTAGTAATAAATGTATAATTTATGTTTCTGTGTTGGTGAAGTAGCCGTTGGTGAGACCGTTAACCGTTAAAAACTCGAGCAGACCGGAAAAAGCTACTGAGTGACTCCTCTTCTTTTTTTAAAAAATTCGACGATCTTTGGCTGAGATGTCATTTTGGCGCCGAATATTCCAAGTGGGTTTGTCAATCTGCAGCGCGGGAGTTTGTGTGTATGTATATGTGTGTATGTGTGTGTATTGGGTTGGATGTTGGACCCCCGCTTCTGGTTCTGTCATTTAACTATTAGTCTTTAAAGTCAGTCATCGAGTGAAGGAAGAGTTTTGAAGACAACATGCAGCGCAGCATCGCGTGAGTACGAAGTTGGGAAGTGGCGGCGGGTTTTTATTTTTTTTTTAGTTAGCTTGGTAGCGTTAGCTTTGGGGACGCCTGTGTTAGTATATTAGGAGGTAGCATTAGCACACATTAGTGTTCAACGTTTATTTGGGTGTAAAAACGTCTTTTTTATGTCACAGTTTTGTGTTTTAGCACGACTTGGGAAGCTATTAAAACAGCTCTAATAAGACCTAGCCAGATAAAGGGACTGTAACACTAGCTACAGGCTTTGTTAGCAAGCTAGAAAAGACCCTGTTGTTGTAGTTGAGTAACTTATCAAACCATAAAGCTGCACACACATCAGCTGTGTTGTCCCTGGTATAAGATATAGTGCTTTATTGACTGCTCACGTTTCCTTGTCCTCTCCCATCAGATCCTTCTTTCAGCCCAAGAGCAACAACAACAAGGAGGTTCAGAAGAAATCTGCAGATGAACCAGTGACAAAGTAAGATATTCAGCCACACAGAATGATGTTATGATACAATGTTATCGTGTATTTATCCTGCTGACTATCCATTATTGTGTATGCCTTCACATGGCTCGCCAGCATATTGATTTCCATAGGCAGGGCTGCAAATAACAAGAGCTGCAATGTATTGATGAAGGTAAACAGCGTTATAGTGAAGCACTGTAGAGATGCAGAGGTTTGTTTGTTTGTTTGTTTGTTTGTTTGTTTGGTGCAGACCCCCCCAAAAATGTCACATCATCATGATTTTAATAGGTATTTTTTTGGTGCAAATTCAATTTGTGATGCAAAAAAATGATGATTCCCAAATTATCGCCAATCGCAGATAATCGCAATATGATGTTTTTACCATATCGTGCATCCCTAATTTAAGGGTCATTCCAAAATCCTAAGCCTGTCACTGTAGCTGAAGGCTCAGCATAACGAGCAATATCATAGTCATCATCAGTCTGAATTAACCATATACACTGACCTCTGTGTTTATTGCTATTTTTTACACTTGCATCTTTTATTGATTGATGTTACATTTGCCCTCTTTCCTACTTTGTACTGCAACTACTGCACAAACAAATTTCCCTCAGGATAAATCAAGTTCCCTCTTATCTTATCTAAGATCTACAGAACTCAATCTTACAACTGCAGAAGTTCCTGTCGGATGACGGCCTATAGGAGAGAATCTCGTTCATTTGCATTGAATTTGTAGCTGCTGGTGCTTAAAACTCAGATACAGATCTCCCTTCTTGGCTGAACTCACTGAATTGGTTGTTGTTCATATTAAGCATATTAAGATTTTTGAGGAATTGAGAAAAACTTTTATTGAATGAATATGCCACTTAGTAAAACTGTCAGATTATTAAAATTATGGATTTATAACGAATACATACTTAAATATACCTGCTTGGCCACTACGTCTGGGAGGAATAGTAAACCCTGTGAGTGCCTCAGCTAATTTTCAAACATGTGTTTGTGCTGAAAACCTTCTGACAGTCGGAGTATGGGCAGTTATCTTTTGAATCACTCTGAATCGTAGATCTCTGTTTGCTTCGTAAAACTTTTTGGTGGCCAGCAGTTATTATCAAAGAGCTTAATAACTTCTGTTTCTCATCTCTGAGCTGCTTTGATGATAATGTTCATTATCTCCAGACTGTAACATCTTTAAAGTATGTGTTAAAACTCTACTTTAAATACACTTGTCTTTATGGAAGGATCTTTTCATCATTGCTTTGACCTCTCTTTTATGATTCTTGCCTTGATTTTATATGTCTCACTTGTTTTTTTATTTTATTTTATTGCTTTTACAATTTACTTTATCCTTCTTAAAATACTTAACATAGCACCATGAGGCTGTGCCTTTGTACAGTACTATATAAATGAGGCTCATGGCTTTATTTATATGAATTACATGGTGTCCGTGCTTGTCTCCAGACCTGCCAAAAGCCCTCTCAAGGTGCAGAACGGTGTCCAGGAGGCTGATTCGCCCATCAAGAAGGTTGCCAAACGTAGCCGTCAGCTCCTGGACAGCGACGACGATGAAGCGCCCGTCGTTAAAGAACAGGTCGTCGCCAAGGGACAAGGGGACAAGGAAGCTGTTGGAAAAACAGAGAAGGTAAAAGGCACCGTACACTTCCATATTTAGACATCACAGTATCACATCAGACTAACTAAATCCAACAGCGACGTTTAGTGCAAAAACAAATCCACAGTTTCATGTCACCGTGTTAAAAGAACAAAGCAGACATGCTTTTTAAATAATGAATAAGACCAATTACCAGTAGGCTTCCTATTTCCTTGCACAGTGCAAAAGTTATTGAAGCAGTGTGTAACCTTTCAAATGTTCTCAATCCACATAACCTGCACAAGCTGAATATAATAAGACCGTTGGAGCTCCTGTAGGCGTATCAGTGCCTATTGTTTATTCGATGGTTGGAAAAACACTGTTGCACAAAGGCACAGTAATTGTATGGTGAATCACCACGTTGAATGCATTTGTCAATAAGCCACATAATGAAAAGACCTGATTATCGGCTTTGGCTGTCGCTCAACCACCTGTTGTTTGATAAACACTTCTCGTTACAGCCCCCTTCATTTTGCGTGTAATATGTCAGAAATTATTCATTATTTGTTCATTTGAAGGGAAGAGATTGTGACGGATACACGGTGTTTGTCGGCATTACCCCCCCCCGCATCACTTACATATGGTTAGAATTATTACATATTTTTAGTGATTAGGTACTAATAGTGTTAATAATATATGCACTCTTGTACTGTTGGCCACAGAGCAGCTCCACCAGAGATAAATGTAGGGCAGCAACTAATGATTATTTTCGCCAGTGATTATAATCTGTCTGTTGTTTTGTTTTTTGGATTAATTGTTGGTCTGTGAAATGTAAAACAAGATGTGAAAAATGCCTATCACAAATAGAGTTCTTCATGGGTCTAGAGTTTTTCTGGGTTGGTTCTCACTTAGTAGCAATAGAGAGGGCTTTGAAGAGCTAATCACGAGTTTCCAGATCCAAGCAGAGAAAATGGAACTTGATAAACAATTGATTATCGGAGTCGACTAATTTTCAGCTCAGCTAATTAATTCAGCAAATTTAGAAATCAGGATTTTGGCACAACTTCACTTCACTTTTAAGGCTCAGGGAGAAGAGATCTGAACTCCAGCAAGACTTGTGGGTAATGTTTTCCAACCTTTTATTGTTTAACATACCCCCACAGCTCTTTGGATGAGAATAAACTCTTCATCAGCACCACCTGTCCCAATGCGTTCATTTGAAGTAGATGTTATTTAACGATATTAGTCATATAAAAGTTGAGTATATAGCCCCTTTAACACTGGACAACCCCCCCCCCACAAACACCCACAAACATCTGTTTTTTTTTGTTAGATAATTAAAGGTACAATCAGCATGTGTTCCTTGGTCAAATGACTCTTTAGTAGTATATAGTAGCAGCTATTCATCGGTTCCAGCGCTGACAGGCAGTGATGGAAACATGACATCCGGGTGTACGCGCTAGTTTTCCTGCTGTGTTGAAGTTCCAATGTCGGCACGTAAATACCAGGGAACGTTAATTATTGTTTTTACAATGTATGGGAAAGGAGTCATCCAACTGTTAGGTATTAATACATTTTACTTAATGCAAGAACAACCGTACAACAATGGTGAATTGGGAATATTGAGACATTTCATGTAGAGCCTTCAACACTGACTTTTCGAGGTGGTTGTCAGCCTGCCTGCTGGAGTGCTCCCTGCCTCCTCTGATTTCTTTTTCTCTCCTAGCAGCCCTCTCTAAACGATATGCTTCATTGAACAACAAACTTGTTTCCTCGGTGAAGGAGGTGTGTGTGTCATTCAGGGGTTTCCAACTCTTTCTAAAACGCTTTCTGCTTTTCTGTATTTTCCGTTCAGCTGTTCCGTGTTTTTCAGCTGATTGCTCGACCATCCGTAGAAAGTCCACAAACAAATGAATTCAGCTTTTTTTTTGGCAGAAGATTGAGGAGGGGTGATACAGTCCACAGTCATCCAGATCATATTGTCTTGGACAGCTGGACAATTGTTACTGTCAGTTCGTGCCTTTCATTGTCAGCTGTAGATGGAAAAAGATGTTGATATGAAAAAGGGGGAAAAAAGAGAAAGAAATCCCCTCAAATCAAAAGCCCCATCTGCAGTAATTACATCCATTAAAGCTTTTGTTTATGCTGCTTCTTGTCTCAGTGATCACTCATACCAACCCTGCTTATCTTTTTCAGAAGGATGACGTGTTTAAGGCAGTTCCCACCCCCCTGTCTCCTCCACCTGCCCCAGCCACCCCTGTAACCCCTGCCACTCCAGCCACCCCAGCCTCTTCGGCTTCACCTGGGACCCCCAGCACCCCAAACTCCATCTCCCCCTCTGGGATTGCTAAACGCAAGACTGGTCAGTATTTGGTCAGATTTGATCTCTTCTTCTTTCCTTTATTTTGTTTCACTCATTGCAGCATTGTTTGAACTTTGACACCAGCCGAGGATTGATAGTTTTTCTGCCGCAAGCTATTTTACTTGATTACTTGTTAGCAGGAGCCTAATGGCTCCAAATACTCATTATTTCACAATGAGGGGGAAAACAAGACATTTATCACAAACTGCATGCATGAGAGGTTTGTTCACCAGAAACAGCTAAGTACACTCTCCTCCCTCTTGTTTCATTTATCTCTTGACACTGTGGACAGGTCTCAACCCTTGGACTGACAACCAGTAGATTGTGTTGCATTTATATTTGTCATCAATCTCATCTGCTAAAACACAAGCACTCATTCTCTGAGCGTATATCATTATTGCCCTGCATGTATTTGCAGTGTGATAATAATATTATTGCTGCATTATCTTGCGATGTATAGTTTCTGCTGACTGGGCATTAATGGAATCAGCAGAGCAAAGTCGTCTTATTATAGTAGCTGATTGTCAATGTTTATATGGTTCATTTTTAGTTTGCAGGCTTTGGTAACTTTCTTTTTAAAAAAAAGTCATGAACATATGTAGTGTTTTTTTTTTTTTTTTTTGCAGTTTGTACATGACAGCTGAAACATTTCACACGAGCAAAAATCAGTATAAAAGAGATGCTAATGCTGTCTGCCATACATGTTCATTATCTGTAAATTCTAAATGAGATGCGTTGTGTTAACTTTCTGCATTTAACATGAAAGAGAATGGCCAAGTGATTTTAAGTGGAGCTTTGTACTTGGTGTATTTTTAATGGCACACAAGAAACGCAGGAATTTGAGAATTTAAGCTACTTAGAGCTACACAGTTTTCTAGTATCGCAGCTTTGTTTTCATTTGGGAGGCACCTCCTTTTCTCACTTTGTTTCCATCATCCTACTTTTGCAGCAGGAAAGCGGCTCATTGTCTTTTCATCATCCCGTTCTGTTTGTGTTTGATGACTGCAGTGTTTGCTTTCAGCAGTGGTGCGTTGCTACAATAAGCGGCCTGCCACCATCACCACTGGAGAATCACATCACATTAAAAGTAACGCTCTAATTTGACCAGAAATTGCATTCTTAATGTCCTGGGTTAATGCCTTCATTATAATATCTAGAAGAAAAACAGCAGCAGCACTACCTGTGCTAGAACCCTAACAAGGACCAAAACAGAGGCGGATGTGGAACCAAAACTAAAATTACCCTCGAGCACCGCTGCTGCATAACATTATAGAGGAAATTACACTGGAACCCTAAGCTGCTGTGCTGCATAATATCTTTCAGGATGGAATTAGTGTTTTCATTAGCAAAGTACGTATCTGTGATTCTCTCTTCTTTTTTTCCCGTTGCCCTACATCTGCAGTAAGAGAGCAGACGTCCTTTTTTCATCTCCACATTCTCTTTCTGTTTGATCATGGCATGATTTCAGTTGGGATGCCTCTCACTACGTTTTTCTTTTTTTGTCGCCTCCTTTTTAATTTAATGCCTGTCCTGACGTGTGCAGCGAGGAAGATGTTCCCAAAGAGGAAGCTCGACGAGAGCAGGAGCGGCAGTGAGAGTCAGAAAGAGGAGGCCGAGGCCCAGGAGGAGCAGGGTCAGCGGAAGAAACGACCCCGCGTGGAGAGCAGTGCCAGCAGCCCAGGTACGCCTTCACCTCTGCTACGAGTCTGATAACATAGTTCACCTTCTGCACGGGGCTGCAAAGTCTTGGCGAGAACTGAAAATGAACTGCAGACTTTCTAGGACTTTCACAGGTGGGAAGTTGCACAAACACTTCAGATACACTGGAGAAACACCCAGTGATAAGTTATTAATAATGATTATTACACCGTCATGAAATTAACCTTTGCTTTGTTTTACAATATCATTACGATTCTTGCGACTACTAGCAGGGGCATACAATGTCCCAACAGTTCCTTTATCACTGTGACACTGACACTTTCTACCAGCATTTCATATACTTGCTGTTGGTAGAAAAAAATAAAACAACAACTGTGTAACTCCATGTGGTGTTATATAGTGGACAAAGACCACAGTTCCCTGGAGTGTCTGTCAGCAAAGCACCAGCTTAACTTCACAAAGCACTCACAGGGTCTATGCTATTCCCTTCCCAGGAAAAAGTCCAGATGCAACGTTTCCTTTTTATAGGAAAGTATAGTGTGTGTGTGTGTGTGTGTGTGTGTGTGTGTGTGTGTGTGTGTGTGTGTGTGTGTGTGTGTGTGTGTGTAGAATATAAGTCTCCAGTCCATGTAGGATTTTACAGGAATGTATAATGCCATATTCATCATTTAACCCCGGTGCAGTTTCAAATTGTGGAACACTTTTTAATTGGAAAGTATCCATAAACGTGTAAAGTACCACTTACATGTGAGATGATGAAGTCTAAATGCAGCACACCCTGGTGCCGCCTGGTGCTTGTAAACCCACCCGTGCCCATTTGGTTGTTCCCTTTAAAAGCCCACACACACACTGTTAGCATTGCTCGTCATTGCATCTTGATGTGCAGCAACTTGACAGAAAAGCAGTAGATGCTGATATAGAGGTAATCTGTGAGTTTTTTTTTTTTTTTACTTTAATCGATTAGTGATAGCTTAAGAGTGACAGGAAAGGGGGGGAGAGACAGCGGGGATGACATGCAGCAAAGGGCCACAGGTCAGAGTCGAAACCCATGGCCTGGACTCCGCCTTGGTTACATGGGGTGCCAGCGCTACGAGATGAGCTACCAGTGCGCCCCATTATCAGATAATTTGATTCATGAAAGTAATTCCTAGTTGCAACCCCAATGTCAAATGACGCAACTGACGTGTGTTATCCAGAAAATAGCGGTATGTCAACCTCAGACATGTTGTGACGATGCCATAAGCCTGCAGATAAAGAAAGTAAAAACGAGCAAAAACAGCCTAATGGTGGAAAAAAAAAAAAGAAAGGAAAGTCAGCTCTCGTCAGTCATTGCTTGAAATTATAATACTTGCTGCCGTATAATCCTCGTTTAATCTTTCTATTAAGATGCCACTACAAGTGCCAAACCCTGCAGTTAAAGAAATACTTGAATAAATGGAGTTGTGGAAAAAGTTGAATTTCAAAACAAGCTGTAGCAACTCTGCTCTGTGACAAGGTTTCACTTTCTCTCTTTGCCATTTTTTTGGGGGGGAATTTCTATCCTTAAAAACATTGGGGCCCATGTTTTTACCATCATTGAAAAGAAATCCATCAAGGCCAGGCAAAATGATTGACTTTTCCCATAGCCAGCGCCTTCTAAATGTGGTATTTTCTTTTTGAGCACCATGTGTACCTGCACTAGCACGACAGACAGGAAAATGAATCCACTTTTTTTCTAAAATTGACCGGTAAACTACCAAAAGTATCTGTTGGATTCACCAGCCCAATCCACCAATCCTTTTAACTTGTGGATGAGAAAATTAAAGTTTCATGTCTGCCTCCTCACTCAGACAGTATCATGACCTGAGCTCTCTCTTCTGGGACTCGATGCTCCACATTTGTCAATAGCAATTTCTCCCTTACCTGACTCTCGGGTGAAAAGGAAACCTCAAAAAATCTAACCTGCGGCATTTAATGAAAAAAGGCTGTTGTGTTGAAAACCATCTTCAAACATGGGCTCACAAAAAAACTGGGTCGCCCTCAGTAAACCTGCTGGCATTTATCTCTTCAATGACTCCACTTCCTTTCTGTCTCACCCTGTGCAGGGAACCCCGATGAACCCATGGAGGAGGGAGCAAAGGAAGAAAGAGTTGAAAAGGCAGTGACCGAGGCTAACAGCCCAGATGAGGAGGTGGAGAATGAGAAGAAAGGGGAAGGAGAGGAGGAGGAGGAGCAGGAGGAGCAGGTGGAGACAAAGAGCTCTGATGAGAAGGAAAAGAAAGCTGAGGGGGCGGTAAAGAAAAATGAAGCAAAGGAGAAGACGGATGATGAGAAAGGGCCTGCCGTTGCCAAGAAGAAAGAGGTGGTTGAAAAGGACACGCGAGATGGAGAAGAGAGCCCAAAAAGTCAAACAGCGAAAAAACAGAAAGAAGCAAAAGAGCAGAAAGATAAGGAGCCGCCCAAGAAAGCCCCCATCAGCAGTTTCTTTGGTGAGCTGGAAATTTGCATAGTTCTGTGCTTGCACAAAAAAAAAGAATGTCTGTAAATGTGCTATGCTTTTATCAGTTAGGAAAGATGGGAAAATATTGTTCTGCCCCAACCCCTGCTCTACACTCACCTTCTGTTTTATTTGTTTCTTCCCCCCCCCACCCCAATAGCTCCCAGGAAAGCTGCAGTGAAGACAGAGAAATTAGAGAAGGATGAAGGAGAGAAAAAGACGAGTGCAGAGAGGAAGACGTCAGCTGAGGAGAGCAAAGACACGAAAGGGTAAGGCCAAGTACAACAGGAAGGTAGAGACAGCTCAGGCTTGAGAGGGCCGGACGCCTCACCTGCCTGCTTGTACTCTCGTGTCTGTCTCACCTGTCGGAAACCGACACTGAACTACTGACTCGTGCTCTGACCCCTTTGGTAAACGCGAGAGGGAGATGAGAGGAAACTAATTGACACTGGAGCTGAAGTAAGGCTGCTACTGACAGTTATTTTCATTATTGATTACCTGATATATACTTGATTATTATGATTAATTGCTTCTGCCAGGGAGGTTGTGTTTATCTGCGCCTTTCAGATTAATCTTGCAAATTGTCTGAGCTCACGCAAAACGTATGACTTCTATGGTTACACTGTGCTGGTCACAGTGTCGGTGCTCCCAGTCAACATTAACACATTTTGTTGGAAATGACAGTTCCAGTCAAATTTAGGTCACATTTAACAAAAATGTTAACAAAAACAAGAAAATGCTGCATTACTTTAGGCATTTCTACTTTGAAAGGCAATTATGAAATTATTATTCTTCTTTTTTTTTTCTTTTTTTTTATAGAGGTTACTTGTATTTTCGTCACAGCTCAGTCTCAGTCTCAGTCCAACCTGCAGTTTTAGCCTCAGCATGCTAAATTATACCCCAGTAATAATGAAACAGTCAGACGGTCAATTAGGCGCTGCGGCCTCCTCTCAAACCGAACATTAAACGGCTGCCAACCTAACAGAAATTTTTACCTGATTCAAAAATAGTTGGACCGCTAACCCAATACAGGTTCAAAATCAGTCTCAGTTTGTTCAGTGTCTGCCATTAGTTACAGATTTCAGTTCATTTAGTCTCTTACTTGAATATAAATGAATAAAAATTTCCCCTATATCAAGTCATTGTCTATCACTGAGCGTATTATGTACGTCTGGATCCAAGTGCAAATAACAAATTTTTTATTATTGTTATTATTACTATACATTCACATTGTCTGTGTTAGCAGTGCTTCTATTACATGTGCTGTAAATAAACCAGTAGCAGCGACAGCAGCAGTGGATTACTACTTCTTTGTCATTTTCAGGTCATGTTAACTACTCCAGCCACAATCTTTTTTTAGCTCAAGAAGTGAGGAAATGCATTTTTAATCGCCCTAACTATTTATTTTTTATCACTGCCTTGTGTGTGACAGTGTAGGTTTGATATTGCATACAAAAGAAGGTTCACAGCTGTAGTCCCTCTCCTTTTGTGATGAATTCAGTTTTCAGTGGTATTTACTTTGACTACCTGGTGGCACCTTGTTTGAGGGAAAAGAACGTATCATAATTTACATATACTGCAGTAAAAAAAAGTAACTTTTTAACCATCCTAATTGGCGTTTTTGCAAGAATAAATTATCATATATCACATTGCTGACCTGGGAAATGCTATTCTAATAAATAAGTTGAACTTTCTTAGTAAGTCTGGGTCTAAGTTTGAGATGAACTTTGATGTTCAAGTTCTTCCAGTGTGAAGTAGCCAGTGAAGCTTTCAAAATATCCTCAAAAACACTCAAAATGTCTCATTGTTATGATAATGCTGTGCATACCTTTCTCTCTACAAAGAGCTCTGAGTAGGTTTCAGGGACTGTAACAGCTGTCACCGTCATTGGGTTAACTAAAATTGCTCTTTTTCTTGTTGTGTTCTTCCTCAGTGAGTCAACCTCAAGTCAAACGGAGTACAATCCGTCCAGGCCCAACTACCACCCAGTTGACCACGCCTGCTGGAAACAGGGCCAAAAGTAAGTCCAGCCCACTTTACTCTGTATTTCGTCAACCTACGGTTCCCAGTGACACTGATATTTTCTGCCATATTGTGGACGTGGAGTTTTGGGGAAGTCGGGGAGTATGTGAGGGTGTTAATAAGAGATAACTTTACAGGAAGGTTCCTTATGTATGTTATTATATATTCATAGGGCTACAAATAAGAAAATGCTCCCCAGAATTTCTTAAAGCCCCCTGGTCACATTCTCAGATTGCTTTTTTTCTCCTCTGACCAATAGTCCGTAACCCCAAAAGAATCACATAAAATAAAGAAATGCAGCAAATCCTCACATTTGAGAATCTGGAAGTGGAGAATTGTTTGACATTTTCATCTCTAACTTATATCGCACATTAATGCTGTTTGCCAAAAACGAGTATCAAAATAGTAATCTCTTGGATAATAGAATAAATCTTATGTTTTGAAATAATTTCATCAACATTAGAGTTTATTCAATTAAATCCTGTAGAGACGAGTGTTATTCTAAAATGAATACAGAAATCACAGACTGTTAATGCCAACAGGATGCACTATGATTGTAATCACATAAACTGGCACAATTTATCATAATCAAATGTTGTGATGCAAATGTAGACAGGAACTGTTGTTGCCCATCACCCCCAACCTCTTCTCTGCCAATGTTTGTTTTCACTTTTTTAGTCAAAAGTAATATCCTGAAACATCGTATTTGTAGTGTTTTTATCCTCACCTCGAAGCCAAACTTTAGTGGGAACCAGACTGATTTTTTCTGTGCAACCTTCCAGAGTCAAACATTTGGAAATTCAGAGGAAATAAATGTTTCAGACCAGGGAAGTGCTCTGACTTCGTAATGCAAGGTCATGGAAAAATCATGGAATTTTACATCCAAGGCCATGGAGCTGCTTAGACTGGACTTAGACTCTGGTCAACTACTGTGAACAGCCGATGTTTTGTGCATTTTTAACCTGCTTTGAGTATCGGATGGGTGGAGTTTACGGCTTCTGGATAGTTGAAGCTACATGTTAGTCACTGAATTGACGTGTAAATTCTTCTCTGTGATTGAATAACATCATTTTGACTCTCAGATTTTGTCATATTGTCAGCAAAACTCATCTGCTACTTCTGCTAAAGAGAGATTTAAAAAACAACTAATGATTATAGTTATTAGATTTATTTCCAAGACCAGTGTTCATAATATTTAAAATGCACCTAACTCCCATGGTTCACCTGAACAAAGCTCCATAGAAAATTATTTTTGTCCCATTTGTCTCCCCACCCATATAGCATAAGGACACAGTTTTCCCTCCATGGCAGCTCCGACCTTTGTCCTCCCCGCTGCTGCTTTCATGGAGTTTCGATAACCCACAACCAAAGCTCACTGTACTGTTGCACTAATTGCTAGTTGCTCTGAACAGCTGAGTCAACTAAACACTGTGAATGTAAAAATCTGTCAGTGTGGATGCTTCGCTTTCTAACTACCGTACATGCTCATCACTCTCCAGAGTGCCGTACTTGGCGGTGGCTCGTACCTTTGAGAAGATTGAAGAGGACTCTGGCAGGTAAGAGCTCCATATGGAGGAAACAGGATTTTTATTTTGTTTTTTATTCCAGAAGGAGGTAAACACCAGTTAGGAGAAAGTGTTGTACTCTGTTTAAAGGATATAGCACGTACCAAAGCATTTTTACAAAATTACCACTCAGTTTTCCTTCTGGGAATTTCTGGAATATAATTTAAGAAGTGTGTTCCACTCAGGAAAAGTGAGTACTGGCTTAATTATAATGGGAAAGGCAGGGAACATGAAGGAATTTTACAATTGGGTCACTTTCCAGGAATGCTCAAGAATGTATTTTACCAACTGTTTTCACACTTGGGTTTCAGATTTAAATCCTGGAAACTTGGCTGATGACTTATTTTACAACTCTTGAGCTGAGAAATGACTATAAACCAACAAGAACTACAGTTTTTGGCAGAGGAAATGCATGTGATTCTTCGCTTTAGGAATCCAGATCATACATTTTAAAGGATGGCTTAAGTGTCTTGCCAGAACATTAAAAACACCTTTACAGACTTTGTTTTTACCTTTTCTGAGGATATTGAAATAAGTAACTTCCCGTTGATGGCTTGTATTTTTCCCACCCACTGCAATTGATGTATAGCGTTTCATAAATGAACTGTTCCTCTGCCTCCCCAGCTTCCATTTCCGATTAAAACCTCCAGACAAATCTCATTTCTCGCCTCCCAGTATTTACAGGATGGCTTTAAAATTCGTTTAACTCGTCTTCCTTGTCTCAAAGCAATCCTGTTGTCGTTTCCTAGGCTGAGAAACATCGAGACACTGTCGAACCTGTTTCGCTCCGTGCTGCTGCTCTCTCCAGGTAAATGGTATTTTATCTCTCCCATAATGCATGCTGATGTAGCTACACAGGCAGCTGGCTGCCAGCCACTCTATCAAGGAGATGATGATGAAGCCAGGTTGCACATAAAAGTGGGAGGATGAGTCAGTTCATTGATGTGCGTGTGTCTGTTGGTGTGTGTGTGTGTGAGCATATACCTGTGGAATTCTGATGATGTGTGTGTGTTTGTGTTGATGCATTGTTCTGTGTGTGTTTTTGATTGTGTGTGTCTGAGCCTTTGTTTTTTTTTTGTTTTGGCTGGTGTTGTCTGCGAGTGTATGTGTTAATAACTTGAGTGTGTTTCTTTGTTTGTCCATGTCTGTGTGTGAGTGTTTCTTTGCATGTGTTTGGCTTTGTCTGACCACATGTCCTTGGTTTGTGTGTGTATGTGTGAATGCTTATGCTTTCTTTTGTAATAAAGTGTGTGTGTGTGTGTGTCTGTGTTATTTTTTCAGATGACCTGCTGTGCTGTGTGTACCTGTGTTTGAACCAGCTGGGTCCTGCCCACCTGGGGATGGAGCTTGGCGTTGGAGAGACGGTGCTGATGAAAGCTGTTGCTCAAGCAACTGGTAATTGACACACACGCACGCGCACACACACACAAACAACCATTCTGTTGCACCCAAACACTTGCTTGTGCATTCCCAGCCTAACTGCTAATGCCACCCTTCTCTGCTCATCAGCCGTCGAGGCGCCTGCTATTTACCGTCTCGCTCTTGTTTCCAGGGCGACAATTGGACAAAATCAAGGCAGAGGCGCAGGAGAAAGGAGATCTGGGCCTTGTGGCCGAGAGTTCCCGTAGCAACCAGCGCATGATGTTCCAACCGGCCAGTCTGACAGCAGGGGGCGTGTTCAGAAAATTGAAGGAAATTGCCAGCATGAGTGGGAACTCGGTGAGCCACAGAATAACATTTTCATTAGGGGAAAGCAGTCTTGGGCAAATATTGTTTTCACTCTATTTGCCTCTCAGTATTGGGGTCAGGGAGGGAAAAGAAAGGAAACGTTAACGTAATTGTGTATCGAACAAGAAATTATTAGTTTATTTGTCTACTTCAGAGGGAAGAGGGTAATTTTTCAGCCTTTGAATGAGTCGTCACCTGGCTGGAATCTCACAAGCAATTAGCTCCTTTCTCGTCCCTGTTGCTGTGGGGCGTTTTTTTTTTTTTTCTTCACACTTTGGATTGAACATGGAGTTTGTACTCGCTGGTGACCTCAGTCTTTTTGCATTCTGTCTCTCCTCGCTCTTCTTCTGTGAATCTCAATTTCCTCCCGCCTGCCTCAGGCCATGAATAAGAAAATCGACATCATCAAAGGCCTCTTTGTGGCATGCCGCTTTTCCGAGGCCCGCTACATAGTCAGGTAAAATAACACTCTCTCACACAGACACACACAAACAGAGACAGGCTCGGCCGCGTGTGTGACCACTGGCCCACACACGCACACACGCACACACACCTGCATGTATATAGACCCAAAGATATTGCTGTACCTTTTTAACTTCTTGTGTATATATCGGAGCGTGTAGCTGTTGTCATAGGCAACGTGTGCAAATCAACACTGACAGCTGCTGGTCTTGCGGTTTTTATGGACAGGTCCCTGGCTGGGAAACTGAGGATAGGCCTGGCTGAGCAGAGTGTCCTATCAGCACTAAGCCAGGCTGTGTGCCTGACCCCTCCTGGACAAGGTAATCTTGAATTTTAAAGGACGTGTTCACAGTTTTTCAAGTCTATCCTAAGCAAAAAGTCAGGTTCCCCATATGTGTGTTGAAACCAGTGTCTGCTTGCTGTTATCATTCCGCCTGTTCATACTGGCTATGATTCCTAAAGCAGTGTCAGTGTAACTGAAGTTAACACGAGGCTTCAACAGTCAGACCCTTCAAAGTTATATTTAGTGCATAATCCCTCTTTATGTTCACCGAGCTTACTCATCCAGGAAACACTGGAAAAACATAAATGTAAGAAAAACTAAGTTTGGAAGATCTCCACTTGATTTATCTAACTCAGACTGCTAAAACCAGTACCAGTAACCAATATATTTTTGCAGAGTTGTGAGGACTGTGGGTTTTTTCCCCCCACCTCTGGAAAAAGTTTGCGTTTCACACTTTCCTTATTTCAGTCTGTTTGCAGACTTTTCTATTGGATGTATTTATTAGATGCTTCTGTACTGCGATGGAATTATCTCTTTTTAAATTGAAATACAAACCCAGGAAAGAAGTCACACTACAGGAGAGGAAGGTAGAGTGTCAGACAAAGTAATGACAGCTTTTATTAATAGAATTCTTGTTAAAACAGCGTTAAAATATTCTTTGCATTCATTGGAAGAGTTATAGTTGAAATTTAAAACAGTTAATGTGTAAACCAAGCCAATATATGAATATATAAATGTGTCCCTTTCAAAGCATTTTGAATTAAAGAAAGAAAAACACCATCTTGGAGTATGTAATTGGATGAATGAAGCTGACACGTCTTCTCACCAGTATGTTACTGAATTCATGACTTTCTCAAGGAAGTTTTGACCGCCTATCTCTCACCACCTGCTCTCAGCACTGATCTGACCTGCTCTCACTAACACCACCTACACCAAATTAAATAAATGAATTCCTGGCTTATTAGTATTCGTGGCTTACTCACGACTGGAGGTATGCTTTAATAAGAGTCAATTAGACCAGAGGCTCGGTGGGGAAATTTCCATTGATCTGTGGTCTGGTCTGGAAATGTTTTTCTTAACATTTTTATTTATTTATTTAACCATTATTTAATCAGGCAGGTCAACTTAGAGCAGATTCATTGTAGGGCTGAAGTGGATCATTACAATGAATAATTAATTTTGATAAATTATTATTCAGTCATATTTTAAATATATTGTAATTATAAATGTCGAACTGGAAACTAAAATAATTTATTTGGCCTTTAAGCTTATATTGTTTCAACCACAGTGGGACTCAAACTTCATTTTTAGGGTGAGTTCATCCAGTTCGTGTAGAAAACACATGTGCAGGTGTAAACAAGTAATTGCGCTGCTGTAGGTGTTGTATGTTTCCTAGCCTTTGAAGTCCCTCTGAACTTTCCATCCAACAACTGTTCGATCATACAAATGTTCAAACACTCTCACACAGACCTGTTTGAAATGCATGTATTTTTTTTTTTTTTACCTCCTACCTTATAGTTTTCCCTCCCGCTGTGATCGACGCAGGGAAGGGGATGAGCGCTGAGAGCAGGCGGGCCTGGATCGAAGAGAAGAGTCTCATTCTCAAACAGACTTACTGGTAACTGAAGCCTAAACAAACCTCCTCCTTTCACTTTGCAGTCTCTCCTCGGCACCACTACAATGCCTCATCCCCCTTAAGCCCCGTCCCTCATTCCGCCTCACTCATTCTACTCACTTTAATTTTGGATGATATTGATTTTTGTTCTTTTTTGTTTTTCTTCCCCAACACCCTGCCTCATCTCCCACTTACTCCCCACGCTCCACCGTCCAGCGAGATGCCCAATTATGACGTTATTATCCCGGTTCTGCTAAAAGAGGGCATAGACCAGCTTCCCAATCACTGCAAGCTCACTCCAGGTAAGCAGCCAATCAGGATGCAGACAGGCTATGAGATCAAGAACAGTGACCGGTGTCTGTTTATTGATCTGTTCAGTGGAGGGGAGTCAGTTATTTTAGTTGAGTCATTTATCACAGAAAGATAAAAGATACTACTAAACTAAGGATTAGCTCCCAATTACACTGTTGTCAAGCTATTTGTGATAAGGAGCCTTGGCACCAAGGTAGGAAATTAATACCAGCCGCCATCTGAACGCCACTAAATTGGGAAACTAAATTGGCTCTTGTTGGTCAGTTAGACAAATCCTAGCAGCTATTTTGGCTGGTAAACAATCGTTATTCAGAGGGCTGTTTTGTTCTTAAATGCAGGGGAGTTGAAGGGACTGGTGAATTTCTGGCTAGCACCGGCCAGTTTGGTCAAACCGTTACTGTCCTTGTCATATCTGGGTCTTTAAGCTGCTATTAAAGGAATTTTTTTTTTTTTTCATGTATTTTCATTATATCACTCCCCTGCTTCTTTTTAAGTTCAACTTAGCAGCACAGCCCAAGGGGGGAACTGAGTCTGAGAACTTTCATATTACAGCCAAATGAGAATACAAACAAACTAATTTCAACTGTGGTTTTGTCATAGAAGTAGTTGTGGGTGTGATGCCGATGTGTCATGTGGAAATGTGTCAGTGAAGCTGATTTCACAGATCTGCCTCGTTACCATAACCTGCAGGCCTGTTAGCGACAGCCCCACCCCTCCTGCTATCCACACATGTGAAAGTGGCAAACTTCTTCTCGACTAACTCACAATTAGATTCTCAGCTATTTATGATTCATGAAAAATGCATGACTATATGCATTTTTTTTCTTTGTTTGTTTGTTTTGGTCGCTTTTGGTGTCTGCTGTTTACTTACCCCAAACTCTCCCACCACCTTTCTTATCCCAGGCGTACCGCTGAGACCCATGTTGGCTCACCCCACCAAGGGTGTCGGCGAGGTGATGAAGAAGTTTGACGAGGCGACGTTCACTTGCGAGTACAAATACGATGGAGAGCGAGCACAGGTGTGTTTGTGTGCATGATGATGGCAAAGTGACAGAGTGCAACTGTTTGTCTTGCGTTTGGCACCGAACATATGCCTTCTGAATTTAGTATGCATATACCTTTCGGCTGTGTTCTTTGAATGTGAGGTATTGCTGTTCTGGGTCTCGCTATGTGTTAACTTCACTGTGTGCTCATATGCATGGTGTTTTGGTACAGTGTGTGTGTGTATGTATGTGTGCCTGTGTCTATTCTTTTAAGATAAACAGTAGTGCTGCTTTTGCCCTGGGCCTGTAGGCAGAGCAAGCTACTTCTCCCATTGTGGACTAAAGGAGAGGAGGAGGAGGAGGGGTGGTGGGAGATGGAGAGAGGTGAGAAAAGAGGCTGGAGACAGTGAAGGCGAGACTAATAAAAGGGGGAGAGGGAGACGAAAAACGAAGACACAAGGGGAGAAAGCAGTGGGGATGAGGAAATTTTGAGAGAGAGAGAGACATGAAGAGACCAGCAAGAGAGAGATTGTAATGTAAACCCCTCAAGCTGTATTGTTAATTTTGGACAGTCATGCCAATAAAGTGCCTTTGAACTGAGAAGAAGAGAGATGAGCAGAGAGAGAAACAGAAACAGAGAGAGAGGATGGAGACGGAGCGAGCGAGCGAGCCACATGACGTCCTCTTCCCTCGCTCTCTCTCTCACTGTGGTCTCACTGCAGTGAACATTACCTCGAACGGCCAGCAGAGGGACCCATGATACGCCACTCAGTTAAACACTCCCTCTGTGTGTGTGTGTGTGTGTGTGTGTGTGTGTGTGTGTGTGTGTGTGTGTGTGTGTGTGTGTGTGTGTGTGTGTGTGTGTGTGTGTGTGTGTGTGTGTGTGTGTGTGTGTGTGTGTGTGTGTGTGTGTGTGTGTGTGTGTGTGTGTGAATAGCCATAAGAAAGTGTGTCTCTGCGAGTGTGGCATTTGATGAATCAAAATAACTGTGTATATATTCATGGACCTGTGTGTCCCGTATAATCAGTCAAGTAAGTGAGCGTGGGTGTTTCTTTGTATTTTATAGGTTTATTTATCAGAGGCGACGCTCATTGATCAGTAGAAAGGAAAAGAAAAATGTAAATCAGCAAAAGTTGTTTGTCGTCCCTGGCAAAGTGTTAAAGACAGACCCTGGATGGAACGTGTCAACAAATGTTGCGCACTAGACGGTACAAGATGGCAATGAATGAATAAGACGACTGCAAATCAGATGGTAGTTGACTACAGTCCACATTAAGAAAGGACAAATATTTAAAGAAAGACACTCCATGCAAGGAAAGGAATAGCAGAAGATAACAGGGCAAGACTGACAACAAGATGCTGACGACCAGTGTTACATGGTAGGGTTGGGCGATTGGACGAATGTATCCATCGCCTGTTGTTGTTTTCTTGTCATTTTATTTAGTTAATTTAACGGTCTGCATCTGAAGACTGAGAGCCGCTCTGTGATAGACGTTCAGCGGTGCAGTACGCACACTGAGCCGGAGAACGAGCGAGAGGAAAAACAGCTGTAGAGCCAGAATATTTTCACATCTAACTGTGGTGAATAAGTAGTTTCTTTCGACTAGTTTGACAACAGGGAATACAGTAACGAGGTGATTCGGAGAGGCTCCAATGAAGACTCTAACTCCAGAGAAAGATGGGCACACAGCAGGAACAACCCAGGCCAGGAGAGGAGAGGCATGAAGCGCGGTAGAGGAGCGAGGGAGGTCAGGGGCTTAGGAGAGGAAGCGAAGTAGAGACAGAATATTTTCACATCTAATTCTGTCAGATGGTTCGATACCAGAGTTGGTGATTATTGGAACAGTGTAAAGATGAATAAAGACGGTTTGGCGAGTTTTATTCTGTTCGAATGGAGTGTGTTTCACATTGTTTAACAAGGTCTTAGTTCAGTATAAGAGAGACTCTTGAATTTTGAAGGTGTACGGATGTATTTTTCTGTTTAATGCAGAGAACAGGTGTTGTGTCTTTCCTTTCTTGACATTTGGTGAGTTTATGTTGTGTGTTAAAGCTGTTAGAGCCCATTACACATAGTAAACTCGCCAACATATTGAGTCACACATCCATCTATCAGACCTAATCATCAAATCTGAGCTCTTTCTTTGCTCTGTGTTATTCATTGTATTGTGTTTGTTTTTATTTCCCCCCACAGATTCACATTCTGGAGAGTGGCGAGGTTCGAATATTCAGCCGCAACCAGGAAGACAACACCACCAAATACCCTGATATCATCTCTCGCATTCCCAAGGTAAAACACTTGAACACACAGAGCGCTGCGGCTCAGCCCCTGGGAGAGCGAGAGAGAGAGAGGAGAGTCAGCCTGAGCTGTGATTGTCAAATGAGGGCTTTTACAGGCGTGCGGATAACAACTGCACACATTTATCTCGCTCCATCTGTCTTTCATTTTGCCTCTTTTTCTCATCCTATCACTCATCCTTCTGCCCACTCCTCCTCTCTGCCTCGGTCTGTCTGTCTGTTTGAAACCTGAAACCTTAAAAGTTTATTTGTTCTTTTGCTTGTCTCTACCCTTCCTTGTCCTTTGTGTTCCCATTCAGTCACCAAGAGCTACCACTGGCCATTAAATCGCTCTCTCTTTTTTTTTTAATTTAGAGAGGTGTCTGCTAAGGATGGATATTTTAAACCAGCTTGTCGTGAAACTTTATCTCTCTGACGGTTGTTAAAAACACCGGTCGTTAAAGTTAAGATTGCAGCTGTGGGTTGGCTTGCCAAATTAGCGCAGTTCTGCTTGCATGGGGAGAAAGAAAGAGATCACCACTACCTGAAGCTTTGGCAGTTGGCCTGGGGTTATCTGAGCTCGCTCACTACCTCAACACCTGCTGTGTGTGTTTTTCTGCTTTAGGAAGGAGCTGCAATGATGTCTCCACTCTCTCCTATCTCATTTCACTGTTGTTGTTTTCAAGACCTTTTCTGAGTACCCAACTGTTATTGAAATGTCAATAATATTAAAAGAAATTCCCATCTGGTCTATTAGGGCAAGTTAATGAATCTGATCAATTCTCAGAATAGTCAGAGCTTTTGACTAACTAGTCCTTTGCTAGAATTTATTTAGACATACTTAGAGTTTATAAGAAGAAATAGGTGCACTTCTGTTGCACTGAATTTTACTCTGTATCTGCTTCAAAAGAGGTGCAAGAATCACCGTATGTCTCAATCAGTTAGAAAAAATTCACCCAAATGATCGTTTGACAAAACAAAAATAGATGGTGTTTCGATTTTTCTAGTATGCATGCAGTTTCTCAGGACAGACCTATCCTTAGTGCACACTGAATATACTCCCAAACAGATGTATGGACAGGCAGCTGCAGACACGAAGTAGCTCTGTTTATACTTTTTCCAAAAGTCCACTTAGAGGTTGTCTTCCTGGCTGGTTCCCCCATAGTGTAGTCACTGTCCGCACAACAAATTGGCGGTATGAAGATGTCTGCACGGAGCGTACGCACACCGACTATTAAATGTATGACCTGCTACGGACCCTCATCTCATTTCATGTCAACTCTATCTTCTTCCTAATAGAAACATAAAAAAATACACCATAACTTTCCACCTGCAAACCAGCGGGAGGCTTTTATTGTGAAGTAGCCACAGGAAATACAATATATTTGCCATCAAGTTAGCTTGGTCGTACCATAGTTTGAAGAAAAGTTGTTCTTGGAAATGTTGCAGGGGGGGAATGGTGAAAGAGGAAACAGTCGTAGTGAGATTGTAGAGATGCTCATACTGCAGTTTGTGTGAACTATTACATCTTTCCTCTCTCACACGTGTATCACATCATTGCACATAACATCTGCCCTCTCACGTTTCTCTCGCACTGATGTTCAGTTCTCCGTTTTTTGCTCCTTTTGTCCTCCCAGAACTTTAAAAGCTACATGGCTCTTTGTCTCTCACTCTCACCTTATTACTCCGTCTGTCCACCTGCCGCTTTCTCATGTCTCTCCGTCTTATCACTGCTCTCCCCTTTCTTCTTCATTATTTCTTGATGGTACCTGTTCGGTCCCTCACTTCTCGCTGCTCTCCTTTCACCTCTCTTTCTCCTCTCTTCTCACTCTTGTCTTATTCATTCTTGTCTCTCTCTCTTCCTCTCATCTTTTTTCAGCACTTTGATTCAGCCTGTCTGCAATTTTACCTTTTTGGTCTCCCTCTCTGCTTCTTATACCCTTCCCCTCTCACCGTCTACGCCACTTACATATTCTCTCTCGCTCTTTTTCTCCATTGCCTGTCGATGCTCCTGACTGGTGTCTTCTCTCACCTTTTTTTTGTTTTTGCTTCCTCTTTATTCTCTTCTCACCTTCTCACCATTTTTCTTTTGTACTCTTTTTCCACACATCTCCCTCCCTTTCAAACCCTTTTCTTTTTGCTGTCTTTTCTCTCTTGCTCCTCTCCCATCTCTGCATTCTCTCTACACTCCTTAACCTGTAGAACTTGTCTTTGTCTATCTCTCTCCTTTGCTGTCTCTTGCCTTTCTTTCTCACCATTACCCTCTTCTTAAACTCTAAGGTTTTTCTGTGAAAGAAACAGTCAAACAGAATGAAAAGTTTGGGTGTTGATGCTTCATTTGCATGCAGTGAGGAAGACTCACCCGTTTTTAAATGATGCCATTTTTTCATTTTATTTAATTTCAGCTAGGAATAATTTTCTTGTGTTTATTTAATGTGTGACTCTTAATTTATTACATCTAATTTACCACGATTGTGCTGTAAAAATAGCCCACGTCACTTGTCTGAATGAAGCTTTCATCAAGGAAATCGATTGCTGATCATTAACATGGCAGACAACTGATGAAAGAGATTGCTTAAACAAAAATTTGCATTCTTAGCCCCGACATTACGTTGTCATGGCTGTGTGTGTCGACACATTTTCATGAACACAGTAATGAACAATGCCTGAGTGAAACTTCACACCAACACTGCATAGAGAAGATGGTCTGATTAGATTTTACAGCACCTTGCTGCATTATTTTGCATATTAATGAGGGCAAACTAATTCTCCCGAAGCTACCATACTGCCTTAATGCTTCTAATTGTGAATTAATATTAATGCATTAACACATTAATATTAATACAAATACATTAATTGGTAGTTAATGTATTACTTAGCCTAATGACCTTACGAGTAGAACTGGTTATATGTGATATATTTGATTGAGTTTCCAAACAACCTGTTAACTCTAATGTGGCTCTTGCTCTTAACTGTGGCTCTCTTTGATCAGCTTTCAGATATCGCTCGCTGCTCTGCTCTCAATCTGGTTCAAGTTGTAAATATAAAGCATCCTGGTGGCCCCAAATCGACCAGGACGCAGGAGATTAACATCCCTAAGCTTCACACACAGGATTTGGTGCTTCAGATAATTAGCAGCCACTCTGTCTGATCTAGAAAATCAGTAGTGATAGTCTATACAATCTGCCCATAGGTGGTTTATACCCAGCCTAAACCCTGTTAGAGTTTTTTCCTGCATGGGGAGTCTGGGGTCTGTCGCCAAAGCCTTTTAGTTAATGCAGAAGTAAAGTATAAGAAGCAAACTGCAAAATGTTTTTTTACACAACGTGGGCATCCGACCAAAAGAGTGGTTTAACGATTTGGTAACTGGTTGAATAGAAGAGATGGTAGCAATAGACATGCCTGTTCAAGAGTAGCGATTAATATAGTGTGGGAATAAAATGTTAATGTGTTGACTTGCAAAGCATTTGTAACAAATTGAGGGCAGCAGTAGGTCCTTAAAAAACCCCAACGTGACTTAAATTTGATTGCTTGTATCCATGCCTTTTAAAATCTCCCAAGTTTATGTTTACTTCAATAAAACTCCCAGACCAATCCCCTGATTGCAACAGCAGATGTGGCTTATATGCAGATTGGCAAATAACATCATCTCAAGCCTCATCTCTCTACTGACTAAAGTATAATCTCTTATCTCTTTATTCATTTATTCCCTTTTGCTGTGTCTTCATTATTTCTTTCAAAAGGTGAAGAAGGACTCTGTGGTATCCTGCGTCCTGGACTCGGAGGCGGTGGCCTGGGATCGTGAGAAGAAACAGATCCAGCCCTTCCAGGTCCTCACCACCCGTAAGAGAAAGGTAAGGATGGAGAGGACTATATTAAAGTGGGAGAAGAATGAATGAAATGCTGTGGGTGTTAAAAGGGTAGAAAGTAGGAAATGATGAGAGAGGAAGAAGTGGAAAGGTTGAAAAGAGAAAACAAGACAGAAATAAAGACCAAAAGGTAGAGGAGAGGAAGATAATGGAGTGAAATGATCCGGCAGACGGAGGGAGATGGACGGAGAAAGAGCAGACAGAAAGAGGGGGAGATTGATAAGTACGAGACAGAAGAGTCAAATGGATCGAGGAGAGAGGAGGGTGTGTGAGATTGCAAATGTCAGCGCGGTGTTTTTCAGTTTTGATCAGAGTAACGGCCTCTTTCCACTACACCAATCACATTAGAGGGAAACCTTGTCTTTTTCTATGCATGATGACCTCTTTGTAAATTAGGAAAGGAGAAATGAGAGTGCAGATATGGAGAACATGATGATGAAAATGGCTGAAAATGATTATCCTGATGATTTTTTGCTAGATGCTGTTACCGCCACTATGAAATCATGATTATTTGTAATGATGGTTTGATGCACAAACTGATTGTACTGCGCTTCTGGCGTTTTTGTAACAACATCTCCACTGCTTTACTACCATGAGCGTTCTTGCTGAAATGAAATATTTCAGATGATGAGGAGATGAAACCCGATACGGACTAATTAAACATCCTTAATAGGCGGAGGGGAAAGTAATGAGGGAGTGAAAAGGAGAATGAAGGAGAAGAGGGGATAAATCAGGAGACAAATCCTTCAGGTTTTGAAAAGGCAAAGGCATTTTATTTTGTATTCCTGATCACATCCCTTTACCGATGGTCACAGAAGTTTTCATTTTGGATGTTCTCTTAAAGAACCGAGAGAGCCAGTTGCAGCTGTTTGTATGTCCAAACGCAGCCTAGTTATAACATGTTTACTAAGTAGAGATGTACTTAATTCAAACTGGTTGCTCCACAAAAACTATTTCTTGCACAGGGATTAGTTGTTAGATATTTACATCCAGTAACTGTTACCTAGGTAACGGAACCAACTGACAAAGCTAACGTGGGCTTGCTAATACAGGTTGAGAGTGGAGAGCGAAAGAGATGGTATAACATCTGATCGGCATCTCTTAATTGACGCTTGATGAAATATTTTAGATTGCATTTTACAAAAATAGGAAGCCACACCTCAAATGACACAATCTTATACAATGGCCTTTTGTGCACAATGTGCATATATAAATAAATAAAAAGATTACCCTTACATTACAAAGGATTGGTAAATTATGTCCGACAACAAACCGTTTGGGGGTTTATATTCTGATATCAATATAGTATCTCACATCAATAGAAACAGGCTTACAAGAAAGCCAATTTCCATGTTCATAGGTGTGAGACCAAATACACAAAATAGGAAAACATGAATAGTTTATTCTGTGTGCCTTCATACTTGACATGCATCAAATAATCTCATCTCATATTGGATGTGTATTATTCAGTCTAGGTATGTATGAATAAAACCAGCCCATACTTTGACACTCAATCCAGCTTCACATTTTCATCAAACCAAAATAATTTAGGGTTTCCCTTTCTGCCTTCTTACAGAGGTGAATGCAGGTTATATAAAGCATGAACCTTTCTCACTTCTATTGCCAGAGGTAGTAGTAGTAGTACTTCCAACTTTATTTGTACTAAAATATTGTAACACACACACTCGTGGACAACTCATGAACGGGCACTTAACACGGGCTAAGAAGGTCACCGAGCTTGCTGAAGCGAGCACTGCTACATCCTGAAAACCGAGTTTTTAGAGAGTCCCCGCCTCCAAAATGTACTGTGTGCATCCTTTAAACCTAAGAAATGTATTGAGTACATTTTGAAAAAAACATTTTGAAACCTGCATTGTTGACATCCATGTATACTTGCAAGCAGTCTTCTTCTTCCCTGCCTTTGTTGGTGTAATGCTGTGTTTCTCAGTGGAGTAGAATACAACCATTGGTGAATAACATAACCCACTCAAACAACAATGCTCTGTAGAGCTACTAGGGGTAAAAAAAAACTCTAACAAGTTTGAATGGTTCTGATAATGTAAATCACTAGTAGGAAACTATCTAGTAGCTCAAAGAAGGTAGTAGTAATCCATAGGAATGGATTAACGAATATCTGGTGCAACACAGTCTTGGAATTCAATATTGCTTCGACACGGTTATGGAGAAGTCCTGGAATTTTATAGCACAGCCATGGTGGAAATGCTGTAATAAGGCAGAGTGGAGACTGACAGGAGTAAACAAGAGTAGAATAAACAGGATGAGGTGCAAGACAGGTGAGAGTAGAAGTCGGTGGAGAAACAGAAGAGGTGAGAGAAGTGAGTCAAGGTGCAGGACGAGAGGGAGGAAGACGACGAGGAGGTGCGATGCTCTTTAAAGTTAGAGGGGAAACAGGAAGGGGAAGGCGGTTAACTTTCAAGATGAACAGGAGAGGAATCAAAGAGCTCTTTGTAACAAGTCCCAAGGTTGGATGTAGCGATTTGTGAATAAGATGCATCTATTTGCATATTTTTGTCAAGGGAAAAATATTAAAATGTTTTTGTGTGTGTTGATGCCTCCCTACAGGACGTGGATGCCTCAGAGATCAAAGTCCAAGTGTGTGTGTACGCCTTTGACCTGCTGTATCTCAACGGCGAGGTAAGGCCTGGTGCTGATGAGGAAAAATATTACCCAGAGATCTCGCTCAACACTCCCCGTTGTCATTTAAAACTGGCGTGAGTGTGTGCATGTTCATTGTTTGTGCGCGTGTCCGCGTGCCCGTCACCCCGCTGAGATGCCAACAACGTCCCTGAATGCCAATGCCGTTGCTACTGGAGGCCGTAACTAGATAATGATTGTAATGCTCATTGTAATTCCAGCGGAGTATGTCTGAGTGTGTGTGTCTGTCTGAGATTGTGTGTGTGTGTGTGTGTGTGTGTGTGTGTGTGTGTGTGTGTGTGTGTGTGTGTGTGTGTGTGTGTGTGTGTGTGTGTGTGTGTGTGTGTGTGTGTGTGTGTGTGTGTGTGTGTGTGTGTGTGTGTGTGTGTGTGTGTGTGTGTGTGTGTGACAGAGAGACAGACAGACAGAGAGACAGACAGAGAGACAGACAGAGAGACACAGAGAGACAGACAGAGAGAGAGACACAGAGAGAGAGACACAGACACTTTGACGCTGTGTCAAATGGTGGTCGTGTGTAAATTGTGGGATTGAGAGAGTGTATGATTCCAAACAAATAATACACAATTTTGAAGCTAATTTCCTAAAAGTCAGCCAAAGAAAATGCAAATCATTGACTGTTAAAATCAGCCAATGATGTGAGTTTTCCCAAGTGGACAGAAACAAAATTACAGAATTAAGAGCGCCAGAGACTGAAGTTGTGCCATTTCATTGCTGCTTCCTACCTAATATGGCATTTATGTAAATGTTATGAATTAATTTGTCTCTGTACACACATACTTTCTGTCTTTTTTTGGTCTGTTGCCCTTTTTTAATTCATTTATTTATTTTTAATCATTTCCTTTTCTACAAATTCTCACTCTCCAATTCCCTGTGCACTGCAGTCCTTGTTACTGCTAACTCTGTTGTCGGCCTGTCGAGGGCTCTTCGTGCTCCCCCCCCATCAACACTAAAGTATTAGGGGATGCTAGCAGGACTGTAACAACCACTGAGGACGCCAAGGTCATGTCCTTGGTACTGTTTTTTGGGAATGTGGCAGGTTGAAAATCAGAGGAGTTAACATTCTTCAAATACAACACACATTACATGATTTTTTACTTTTTCCAAGGCTGACAGTAATATTTTTCAGACATCTGTTTTGCTACCAATTAAGAAATACAAATAATAAAAGGAAACAAGTCCTGCAACATCATTATTACATGAGAACACTTTCAGTGTCCCTTTTTATAAATATATAGGTGTTTTTCGAGTCTTACACTTGCTTTGCAATGTTTATGAGAATTTGTGGCCATTTAATTTATTATAATGCACAAATTCTTAATGCCCCCAAAACTACAGTAGGTGGTTGGAAACTTGCTCATAATGAGTGTGTGCAACCAAGACTGTGTGTGTTCTGCAGGTTTAAGACTGTGTGTGTACTCGTTTGTGCGTGGGTGTTTGTATGTGTGTCCAAAGCTGTCGTGACTGTGTATCTGTGAGTATACTCTGAGACTGTTTGTGTGGGTAGCTAGTTGAGATGGCATTTCATCCTTGTCATTGTAAGGCTCCAAGCTATGAAGAGGAAATGGTTGTAATGATACACAGTTTTTCCATTTGTAACGTGTGTGTGTGTGTGTGTGTGTGTGTGTGTGTGTGTGTGTGTGTAGTCCCTGGTGCGACAGCCGTTGTGTCGGCGTCGGGCTCTGCTGAAAGAAAGCTTCTCCGAGGTAGAGGGAGAGTTTGTCTTCGCCCGATCCATCGACTCCGACAACACCGACACCATCGCCGAGTTCCTGGAGCAGTCTGTCCGAGGTGTGTGTGTTCTCGTGTGTCTGTGTGTTTGTGTAAGACAGAGAGAGACTTTCTTACTTGTTTTGTATTAGACTTTGTGGGTGTGTACTCACTGTGCACTTGTTTCCCTGCCTGCTGTCCCTGTGTGTCTTGAACCTTTTTTGTGTGTGGGTGTGTTGCACGTGAGTTTCATTTCATTTGTTACTTTGCCTGATACCTTCATGTGTAAACCTTCATGTGTAAATTGTGTGGAGGGTGTGTGTGTGTAGTAGTAGTTGTGTACTATTTCCCTCCCTCCTGTCTCTTTGTTTGGCCTGTTGGACCTATTAACGTGTGTTTGTCAGAGTGTGTGTGCAACCTAAACCTGTGGGTTATGTAATTGGGTTTTCTGTGGTGTGTGTGTGTCTCTCTGACTCTGTATCTGAGAAAGAACATAGACATGTATTTCCCCATGTGTATTGTGTGTGTGTGTCCTTGTCTACTGTCTCTCTTTTTATCCTGAACCTTTTTGTCTGTGTGTTTTTGTGTGTGTCTCAGAAGGAGACAAAGACCTTCCATGTATCTGAAAGATAATCTGTTAATTTCCTTTCTGCACAACTAGAATCGTGTTTTGGTGTATTAATGTGTGTCTGTGTGTCTAGACTCCTGTGAGGGCCTGATGGTGAAGACTCTGGAGAAGGATGCCACCTATGAAATAGCCAAGCGCTCTCATAACTGGCTCAAGGTGTGTGGGTGTGTGTGTGTGTGTGTGTGTGTGTGACACAGTTAGAACTCGCATAACACACTGTTCATAAACCCAATTGTTCTCTTATGACACAAACACAGAAATGAGCACACACTTAGATTCAGACTAAATCAGGCGCTGCGGCGAAAACCAGGGGTAGTGCATTTAGGCTGCAGCAGTAGGCCGTAAAAAAAACGCAAAGTGGAGAAGTTGAAACGGAATCAACTTTTGAAGAAACGCAACCAGACGTCACGGTGCTGTGGCCAATCCGGCGATCAGACGCGTCAAACTGCTGCACAGTCAGCCTGAAATAGCACAGATGCAGGCGATATCCAGACAGAGCTCATTGACCAACGCTATAATACGCTCCCAGTTGTATTCTTTCTCAGGTACCCGGCTTCAACGTGTTTGTCTGGTTTTACAGTCAGTGCTGTAAAATAAGGATAACGAAGAAAGCTGCCTTTGGTTTGTGGCTATTTGTTTGATTGAAAGGGAGACAGACACAGCTGTGGTCAAGCTTAAAAGACGGGGAATGAGAGAGCAAGAGCGCGGCCATAGTGAGAACACCGGTGAACGCGAGAAATAATACATTATCCTAAAGCATAAATAAACAAACAGCCACAACACTTGAGTCTGAATATGGCCGTACGCAACGTTCATTTAGTGCAAAATACAAATAATATGATCTTTTAAATCAGTTTAAATGTTTTTATACATTGATTTCTGATTTTTGGAGGACAAGAGCATTTTTAAGACTAATTGCTTGTCAGCATTTTCAGGCTGCAGTTTAGATCTTTCACTTCACATTGTTAATACACGACATTTAATTGTGACCTCTGGCATTTCATTCATGCAAAGAAGATAAGTACCTTTTCAAGAGTCATAACTGATCTAATTTTGTTAATACTGAGATGCAATTTTTGTTCATACGATAATATCTCTCTCACGCTGTTGTCCTCCCCTCAGCTGAAGAAGGACTACCTGGACGGGGTGGGCGACACGGTGGACCTGTGTGTGATTGGCGCCTACATGGGGAAAGGCAAGAGGACGGGTACCTATGGGGGCTTCCTGCTGGCCTGCTACGACGAAGACAACGAGGAGTTCCAGTCCGTATGCAAGGTGTGTGTCTATACAGTGCGTGTTTTACATAAATACATCTAACACACAGTTTTATATGATTCACAATACAGGGCTCAGAGTTTCTTTCATTGTAGATATTTTAATGAAAACAGACAGACAGAAGAAAATTTCCTCTATTATTTCTCCTGAAGCATAAAATGTGCAAACAAGATTTTCATGTTTAATGTTTTAGTTTTCAGAATAGTTGAGCTTACCAGTCTCTAACATAATGAAATTAATTTACCTTGTTGCAAGCAGATCCACACCTACATAAACTAAAATGAAGAAAAAATAGCTCTAACCAAACCTAAAGCTACACTTGCACTATCATACAAACGGCTTTATTGTGAGACCAACACATTTCTGCTTGCGGCCTTCATCTGCATAGTTTTGTTATTTATACGACAAGTGTTGCTGGAGTCTTCAGACTTTTCCCCTTTACCCTGTACTCTCATTCTCTGAAAACCACAGGGCCGTTCAAACAGACATGTCACTTTTTAGTGTATTTCATTGTTACCTGTACTGTATCTTTTGGATGAAGGTGTTCTTTGATGCGGCTGCATTATCAAATATAAGAACAGTTCACGCTAACCTACGTGCTGTCATTCACAGCTAGGGAATAGTGCACACGTTTTTAAAAAGCAGTGCATTTCTGGAGCCGAAAGGACCCGAATTAAACATCTCCAGAGAAACAGCTTTTATATGTCTGGCCTGAACGTTTCAGGAAACGGTTGAATCCCAAAGTTCAAAATGTTAATCTGTAATTGAATTTTGCCCTCTGGCAGTTTATGTATTTAAACATGTGACCTTTTGGGAGACTAAACTGATAAAAAAAAAATGGGTTAATAGTGTGAACAGTTTTCAGCTATAAGATGGCATAGTGTAACAGTGTTTTGTTTTGTCAACTTGTTTCTCTTTTGTGCAAAATGCAGCTCTTGCTTTGTATTAAGGAGCTATATAGTGCTTTCTGTTCACGTCTGTTTTATAATGTGTATGTGTTGCAGGGTGTTTTTATGTTCTGCTGAGTGTTTTCTGTGTGCGTTTGTTTTATTTAGTCTGTGCGTGTGTGTGCGTGTGCACGTGTGTGCTTTTGAACTGTCATTTTCCCCCTCAAATCTGAGTTGGAGGAAAATATTTTCATGTCTACAAGTGTGTGCAGAGGCGTGACTGGTGCATCTTAGGATAAGTGGTAAGCATGTATTGGAGCATGCGTGACCACTAGTGTGTACTTACATTTGTGTGTTTGTGCTAGAGTGTGACTTCACCACAGTGCATACATTCTGTATCTTCTCTGTCCTGCAAAAACCTTCCATCTCCATCCCCCCCCCCTCCTCCTTCTGTAACTTTTGTGTCTTTATCCATGGAATAGAGATTTAGTGAGCAGCGGACACGCAGTTTTTCGAGCACCGCCCGCTTCACTTTCATATACTTACACACATTCACACCTGGGAGCTTGTTGGTGCAACCGCAGCTTTCTGCTGTCAGCCACTGAGCAGCTTCACTGGAGCCGGCGGAGGTTAGAGCGCCCGTTGGATTACCGTGTTGACTGTTTCAGGCAGTGCTAGTGTTTTTTTCTGTCTCAATATTTCTTCTATAAATAAAAGCTCATTGGAGAATGTTTTTTTTTTTTTTTTTACTCTTGAGATGACTATCCTGGATAAGTGAGGCGAGGATGGATGTTGCGTTTGAATTGCACAACAAAAGACACAACTTGCTGTGTGAAATGTGAAAAATGTCAGATGAAGAGCTTCTGCCTTTTGTCCTTTATTGATTTTCATATTAATCTTCCTTTGCTTTGATAGCTGCTAGCTCTGCTGTTTGGGAGCCAAGTAAGAGGTTTTTTTTTTTTTTTTATATATTTATTTAAACAATGTTGTCATTTTTTTTAAACCGTCAGCTCTAAACAAATGCTGACTGAGCTGCACAATTTAAGGATTCAGTCACACCGGTCAGTCGGTATGACCTGGTGCTTCCAATCACACCTGGTTTTTTTATTAAGTCTTGTTAGTCACACTTTCAGCTCAGATCTTGGCCACATTAAGTCTCCAAATTTCCATTCTGAGGTGTCCTGGCTGGCATTGCTACTGATCTAAGCTGTGTGTGGATAACTTGGCAGTTACACCTTGTTCTTAAAGTTGTTTTGGTACATCACCTCCCCCATGCACAGCAACTAAAGTAATATTCAGAAAGTACACAGAGACCTGCAGTCTTCAAAAATAAGAGACAAAAAAAAGTTCATTTCATAATGAAGTTTTGGCCTGACAACTACATTTCTGTACATGAAACCTGCAATAGTTTTAAGGTACCTGTACTTTACTTGAGTTTTTACATTTTAGACTTAATATTTCTCCTCCACTAGAGAGAAATATTGTACTTTTTACTCTGCTCCATTCTCCTGACACCTATAATTATTAGTCACTTTGGAATAATTTGAAATATAGCTGCACGATATGGTAAAAAAGTCATACTACGATTATTTTGACAGATATTGTGATTGCAATATGATTCATGATCAGTGTGGGGATTGATCATTTTTGCATCATAAATTTAATTTTCATTGAAATCGTGATGCTGTAAAATCTTTTGGGTTCTGTACCAAACAAACACGGTTTCTGTAGAACAAGATTTAGAGGCTAGGGCATCTCTGTATCACTACAGTACTTCATTATAAAGCTGTTTTGTCACACATTTTACCTTTATCAAAAAATTGCAGCTTCTGTGATTTAAATATTTTACTTTTTTAATTAATTTTGCAGCCCTAGATTGAAATCAATTGTATTCATTAATATGATCAGTTTATACAGTGAAAGACTTGACAGAGCCAAGAGATTATGTGTGTTTTGTCTATTTTGGAGTTTTCTGGATGAATTCTTTGATGATCGGCATCACTCAAACACAATACTAGTTCAGAAAGGTCACATGATAATGTTAAGGTACTGCTGATTTGAGTAATCAAGAAAAGAAGAAATCTCTCCATATAAATGGTATAAAAGTTGTATCTATTTTAAAAGGTGTCTGTGGCACGCCACGCTGTCTAGAGGTTTAGGGTGTGTATCATGTGACTGCAGCGCCAGCAGTTCCCGCGTGCCGCTCGTCATCCATCTTTTTCTCTTTCACTATTCAGTGTCAGCCATAAAACGAAGGCAAAAACCCATAAAAATAATCCTGTTGTCCTTGACGTGTTCGACTTCAGAAACCCTCAGTTTCAGTAGCTGAAAGCAGAATTTAACCCACATTTCCATTTCCCAAATGTAATCTCAACTATACGAAATGTCCTTGAGTGAGACATGAGTCCTCAGCAGATCCAGGAGCAGCGCTGCCGCCGAGCTGCCACTGCGAGGTTCACTCAGACACAGGTCACATAGACTCCCTGCACAGATAATAAGAGGAACACTATTGAAATGGAAAAGACAATTAGATTACGGTCACAGCAACAGCTTGTTATTTTGACTCTCAACATTACTTTGAATTCATAAATAACACATGGACTCACAAATGGTTCATTCATTGGATATTTTGGTCATTACTCGTACTAACACAGCGTTATATTAAAGGCTTTGGCAGTGGAAGAAGCTGAATCATCAGACTAAATCCCACTTGAGCTAAACAACATTTATTTATTTATGGTCCTGCCATATTTTACAGTCTCACTTCTCATGGTTTGCCTTTTTTTTATGCTTTTTCCTAGCACAAGTATTGGTTCTGCCTGTAGCTTGATATAATAGGAGGCAGGGATGACGTGAAGCAACAGGCCAAAATGTGATTCAGAGGCTCAAAACGCTGTGCAAAGTCATCCATCCTGGATAACAAGTAATGAAACCTCCAGCAGCGCTTAAAAATGCTTCTTCTCTGTTCTCTGTGTAGGGCTGAGTATTGAAAGT